ATGGGCAATGCACAAGATGGAACGATGCCGGAAGTTAGTGTGCTCGTCTACCGACTGGTCAAATCTGGAGTCCTGATAGGCATCTGGTATGCACACTGTCTGTTGATGGATAAAGGATGATTAAGAATATTTGAGCAATAAGGTTGATGTGCATTTTTTTTATAGCTGAAAAGAAAGTAGTAAAGTAAAAAGTATATAATAAATTGAAATACAGCTTTCTAAGTCAAGTCTCCATTTTTTAATTAAAGGCTCCAAGTTCCTTAGTATTTGGAATGGTTCTGGTGTGGCTGTGTCTGGCATGGACAAATCTCTCCTCCATACCTCCCCTGTGTGGCAACATGGCCTGTGATGCCAATGTTGATGGGGAAGCGTGACTCAAACGGACTCGTACGGGTCTCAGCATCCTTTCCCTGCAGATCCTTCACCTCCAAATCAAACACTCGTGAAAAGGTTCCCTGAGATGCTTCATGCACCAAAAGGATCTGAGGTGGGAGACGAAAAGAGAGCAAGTTAAGGTAACGGGTGTGAGCATGTAACCCACCTTATATCTAAACCTACAAATAAGCTACTGTGTTCTACACACAGTCAAAGGAAGAAATAACCTTCCCTGTTAACACAAATGCATAGATTTGTGTATGGTGTCACAGCAGATCAACTTAATAATTTATCTGCTCAATAAAGAAATCACATGAATGCAAACTCACCTGCACACGTTCACATTGCAGTAAACTCTGTGTATGTGTCATGATGCGGTAGACCATCTGTTCTATTGTACTTTGCTCCTCAAAAATGATTCGGCAAGGTCCAGCATCACCTGTGAATAAGTAAGTACATGTAACATTTTACAACTTAACAATATTCAAAATTGATAATGTCAAGTACATTGGAAAAAACAACAACAATAATTCAAAATTGATAATGTCAAGTACATTGAAGGAAAAAAATAAAAAATAAAAAATAAAACTTTCTCTAATTTCTAAATATCATAATCAATCATATCTGAATGTGCTGTGTGTGTGTGTGTGTGTGTGTGTGTGTGTTGTGTGTGTGTGTGTGAGTGAGTGAGTGAGTGAGTGAGTGAGTGAGTGAGTGAGTGAGTGTAGTGAGTGTGTGTGTGTGTGTGTGTGTGTGTGTGTGTGTGTGAGTGAGTGAGTGAGTGAGTGAGTGAGTGAGTGAGTGAGTGTGTGTGTGTGTGTGTGTGTGTGTGTGTGTGAGTGAGTGAGTGAGTGAGTGAGTGAGTGAGTGAGTGAGTGAGTGAGTGTGTGTGTGTGTGTGTGTGTGTGTGTGTGTGTGTGAGTGTGTGAGTGAGTGTGGTGAGTGAGTGAGTGAGTGAGTGAGTGAGTGAGTGAGTGAGTGAGTGAGTGTGTGAGTGTGTGAGTGAGTGAGTGAGTGAGTGAGTGAGTGAGGGTTGTGTGTGTGTGTGTGTGTGTGTGTGTGTGTGTGTGTGTGTGTGTGTGTGTGTTGTGTGTGTGTGTGTGTGTGTGTGTGTGTGTGTGTGTGTGTGAGTGTGAGTGTGAGTGTGAGTGTGAGTGTGAGTGTGAGTGTGAGTGTGAGCGTGGAGCGTGAGCGTGAGTGTGAGTGTGAGTGTGAGCGTGAGTGTGAGCGTGAGCGTGAGCGTGAGCTGAGTGAGTGTGAATGTGAGTGTGAGTGTGTGTTTGAGTATGTTTGTGTATGTGTATGTGCATGTGCATGTGTATGTGTATGTAAAAGTGTATGTACCTGTTTCATGTCTTGGGAATTCATGATGGACAAATTACAACAGGAACAACGAAGGGAAGGGCAAGAAAACACGCGAATATGCCGAAGGCCTTTTCGCTAATGCCCTGACGAAGCATGTGCATGTGCGTGTATATGTGCATGTGCGTGTACATGTGCATATGTATGTGTCTGTGTATTACAAATGAACAACACACCTGATTCCGCTTGACATCCAACTGCGAGCGCTCATACAACTGGGGCATTCCTGAGGCGATCCCACAGAACTGGAGGTAAGACTCGAACACCTTCTCGTCGCTGACTGTAAAGCAAGGGCCCTGGTGCTTGTTGATCACCTGCGGGAAAGAAAAAATGGTAAATTCAAGCGCTGAAATCCTCATTTACTTGTATATGAGATTGGCAGGAGAAGAGCGAAGGAGTGAGGGTAAGAGAAAGAATGAGGATGAGAATGAGTGTGTGTGTAAAAGCGAGAATGAGAGTGAGATTCAAAGTGTGAGAGAGAGTAAGAGTAAAATGAGTGAGAATGAGATGGAGAGAGGGGGAGGGAGATGGAGAGAGGGGAAGGGAGATGGAGAGGGGGAGGGAGATGGAGAGAGGGAAGGGAGATGGAGAGAGGGGAAGGGAGATGGAAGAGGGGGAGGAGATGGAGAGAGGAGGGAGATGGAGAGAGGGGGAGGGAGATGGAAGAGAGGGAGGGAGATGGAGAGAGGGGGAGGGAGATGGAGAGAGGGAGGGATTGAGAGAGAGAGAGAGAGAGAGAGAGAGAGAGAGAGAGAGAGAGAGAGAGAGAGAGGGAGAGGAGAGGGAGGGGAGAGGGAGAGGGAGAGGGAGAGGGAGAGGGAGAGGGGGAGGGGAGGGGGAGGGGGAGGGGAGGGAGAGGAGAGGGAGAGGGAGAGGGAAGAGGGGGGGAGGGAGAGGGGGAGGGGGAGGAGAGGGAAAGAGGGGAGGAGGGGAGGGGGAGGGGGAGGAGAGAGAGAGAAGAGAGAGAGAGAGAGAGAGAGAGAGAGAGAGAGAGAGAGAGAGAGAGAGAGAGAGAGAGAGAGAGAGGAGAGAGAAAGAAAGAGAGAGAGAGAGAGAGAGAGAGAGAGAGAGAGAGAGAGAGAGAGAGAGAGAGAGAGAAGAGAGAGAGAGAGAGAGAGAGAGAGAGAATAAAGAGAAAGAGAGAGAATAAAGAGAGAGAGAGACTGAAGGAAAGGCTGACCCATTCTGACCTGCGCGACCCCTATGACCTCGCCGGCGCTGTCTTTGATGGGGCATACACAGCATCGAACGCGTCTTGTAGCCCGTCATGCCATCAATGTCTGGATTGAACCTCGGGTCCTGTCGGGAACGTAAAAATAGCAAATTACCAATTACAAAAGAGATATCGGTACAAGCAATTATAAAAGACTGACAAAAATTGTAGCTGACAACTCAGCAAGCATGCCTCTCCCAACAAAGGCAATTGACAGTCATCAAAGAGGAGACTGGGCTTTCTGACAAGGCGATGCTGCACTGAGCGTGGCTTCCTGCGAGTCTAACCACGGGGCAACAATGAATTACGCAGGTGAGAGCTACCGCTGAAACAGACATAAATGTAAAACATCATGCAGATCCCAAACTTCGAAATGGTAAAACAACAAATAATATTCAAGTTGGACAAGGAGGTGTAGAATAAGAATAAAAGTGAATGACTGTACATGGTATCATTTGGCATAAAGTGGTTCCAACAGAGACTGCATCATCGACGGCAGTTCCGCCTGGGGTCCTGACCTTTTTCCACTCACACGACTTCTCTCAAACACCCGGTATCAGCCTTCCAATTTACAATCTTTCAAACTACATATTAGTATTCTAAGAAAACATAATCAAATCATTCAGCAATCTTTATTCACCCAGCAGCAAATAATTACTCATTGAGGACACGCCAATATTAATAGTAGCACTAACGAACGTCTACACCTGGCTGACAATATTTCCCGCCAGGGTTGGCGGACTAACCTCGGAGTTAAACAATATTACTCCTTTCTCATTCCTGAATTTGCCACGGGTGCGCCAGGTAACTGCAGGGCGCATAGAGCAATGGATATGCCAGAACTTCGAAAGAATAATTTACAATTAATGACGGCAGATGAATCGATAGTGTATGCATTTCCTGGGTTGGAGTGACGTCACTCATGCGTGAACCAATGAGCGCTGCGCTCTAAAAAAAATCCACTGGTCTTATAAATCGCTAAAATTATTATTCCAAAAACCTGTGAAATGAAGTGAACCGTGCTCGGTGCTCGCGAATTACGAGTCCTCATTTTTTATTGCCATACACAAAAGTGCGCAAATGTTTTTAACTGGAAGTGCAGATTCCGAGAGCGAAAGCAATTCTAAATGCAAGCAGTTCATTTAAAACCGTTAATAAATACATGGAAGACAATGATTTACATTGTCAACAAGTTAACCAAATATCGACAAGGAAGTTGTTTTTAATGATGAAACAGACGATGAAAGTTGAACATCTTACGGCCCGAGAGAGCAGCCATTCGGGAATTCAATAAGCTCATAAATACACATCGATGGACTCGGTATGGAACTGGCCTTCATGTTTCATTTAGATGATTATTTGCGCACTTTCTCTTTAACTCCATCTTCGCCTAGGCTGTTTCCGGGTTACGCAGACACTCGCCCCTTCATGCAGGCGTCGGTCGGTCGGTGATCCTGCCGGGGATGCGTAATTATTTTTTTTCTCTCTCTCTCTTGCTCTCACTCCTCTCGCTACCTCGTTCTTCTCTCGCGCGCTATCTCGTTCTCTCTCGCGCGCTATCTCGTTCTCTCTCGCGCGCTATCTTGTTCTCTCTCTCGCGCGCTATCTCGTTCTCTCTCGCGCGCTATCTCGTTCTCTCTCGCGCGCTATCTCGTTCTCGTTCTCTCTCTCTCTCTCTCTCTCTCTCTCTCTCTCTCTCTTCTCTCTCTCTCTCTCTTCTCTCTCTCTCTCTCTCTCTCTCTCTCTCTCTCTCTCGTCCTCTCTCTCTCTCTCTCTCTCTCTCTCTCTCTCTTCTCTCTTCTCTCTCTCTTCTCTCTCTCTCTCTCTCTCTCTCTCTCTCTCTCTCTCTCTCCTTTTGCTTCTCTCCCTCCTTCCCTTACTCCTCTTACGTTACTAATCTTGTCATCATCTCTATATTCCTTCACTTTATTTTCCCTCTTTCCTCACCTCCTTCGCATAAGTTCTGGTGGAGTTGCGTTTGAGGCGGTGCCACGCCCCTCTTGGCACCGCGCCTGTACCCCCACACCTGTGTATGCCACGCTCTTTTCAG